ACATCTCCTGCTTCCATAGGAGTGGAAAATCAGCCCCTCATCCCACGTCAGCCTATTACATCCTACGAACCAACACAAGGTAGCTTACTACAAATTCAAACCAATGTATTGACCGACCCCTGATGGGGATAGTAATTGACCCAGATAGGCAACTTACCCATCACTTGTGGGACCCCCAGGGTGCTAGCCATATTCTGGTTCAATGGAAGGATAAGATGGAAGCAGAGGGCAGCTGGTTGCCTCTAGAGGATATCCAAAATTCTCTGCTCCTGCAGGTGTAGTTGCAGGAATGCCATATGTTAGATGTGCTCAAGTCGGAGGCTTTTCTAGATGGGAGTGGTGTAAGAAAAACACTCTCCTTACTATGCATCCTGCACACTAGCTCGTACAGCCATTGCCATCGGCCTTGCCTTGTTACCACCTGTTTGCCTGTTGCATACCTTATTGACCTGACACACGTTAGCATTGCCGAGTCAATTGACAGATAAGTTTGTGCTCGTTAAGCCATGCTCCGAACTCGCGCGCTAGCCAACAATCTTGGCCACGTCACTAGACATTACCTGCAGCACTTATCGCCTATAAATTCTTCACATGTATCTTTCGGTCACGTTTTCCACTAGGTCGTTCGACTACACCCCAAATGCGGATCCAAACATTTGCCAACCCGAAAACCTTATTTTGTGTCATTGCTAATCACATATTGCCTTTTTTCATTTCATTGGAGGTGTGTCTGAATAGCCTAGTATCGGAGACGAACAAAAATAATGATCGAACAAACAGCGAAACTATTTCTTGCCACTGTCGCCAAGCTACATGACATTCTTTCGGCAATCATCAGCGACCAAAACCCACGCCTCATGTCCAAATTTTGGACAAAAACGTGGGAACAGTACAGCTCGCATTTGCACCTATCCACGACTTACTACACGCAATATGACGGTCAGACTGAGCGTACCAATCAAACCATGGAGCACCAGATCCAATCACATCAGTCTTCTACAAGCGTTCGTTACGAACACGACCGATCTCGGTCGTCAACGACTATGTCCAACGGTCAACCCTATACCCAAATCGACAACGAAAGCGGCTGAGATTCTTGCTCGCCAAGACTCTACAACTGTTGATTTCCATATATGATGGGTTGATCGAACGAGCAACAACGACCTCTGGGCCCCTGCTGACACACTCGGTTCTCACAAGTAGTCCAGGACTATTTACATTGACGATGTTCTCAGAGTAGCGAGATGAGTAGAAACAACTGTACATATTACTTTTACCTAGTGGGTTGTATTCTCTAAAGGCATACACCTAGCCTATATTAACATATTGCATATATGTTTGACACACCCCTTAGGCTAGACAAGGGGTAGTGCTGGGCAAGAGACACGCAGCTCAGGGTGGCACTACTAGTCCAACCTCTGAGGCAAGGGTCTAAAGACCAGTCAGGAGATTACAAACAAGACAAGAGCAAACCAGGGCGGCACTACTAGTCATGCCACTGGAGTAGAGGCCAAAAGGCCAGTCAGGAGAATATAATAAGAGCAGTACACAATCAAGGCCCTAGCAATTGTGAAGCTACATGAACTAGACCTAGCTGTACACAGTGTCGCTGATGATCTTTAGGTGCAAGCGCCTTAGTAAAGATATCAACTATTTTGGCACCGTAGGCCAAGTGAACTACGCGAGCCTGGCGGCACTGCTGTAGCTCGCGCAGGAGGGAGCATCGCAGCTAGATGTGCTTCGCTCTGCCCTCAAGTCGAGGCTCCTGACACAGGAGGATCATGGCCCTGTTGTCAGCATATAGAACAAGGGCAGAGCTAGGCCGCCCAACTAAGTCTGTGAGCAAGAAGGTCAGCCACGGAGCTCCTGTGCCGCCAAGGCACCAGCATAGATCTCAGCCTCACAGCTAGACTATGCATCAGACGACAAGCGGGTGGACCTCTACGAGGTGGCCCCTGCACCAATGCTAAAGCAGTAGCCTTAAGAGCACCTGAGCATCTCAGCGTCTTCCGCCCACGAAGCGTCTGTGTGCCCTGTCAGGACCACTAGTCTTCGTCCTCCTAGCAATAACCCCATGCCCGATGTACTTGCTAGATAATGCACAACCCTCTTAGCGGCCAACCAGTGCTGCCGTCGGTGTCTTCCTGTGGCCACAAAGTGAGCTAGGATGCTGAGAGGGTATGCGATATCTGGACGAGTGCAAGTCATCAGGTACATAAGGCAACCCACCTGCTCTGTGTAAGGACCACTAGGCTCTCCAACTCGTCAGGGACCGGAGCCGAGAGCCCGTGATCTACTGGCAGAGGCGTGGGCTGTGCAGAAGAGAACTGCAGGCCGAACCTATGAAGGACGTGGTGCACCAAGTGTAACTGTGTGAGAGTGATGGTGCCCGCTGCTCTATCCCTGGAGATCTGCAGGCCAAGGTAGCGGCGCAGCTCTCCTTGGTCAGTACAGGTGTGTCTCCTCAGCACCTCAGCCTTCAGGGAGGCCAGTGCGTCTCTGTCTGCAGTAGCGAAGACCAGGTTGTCTACGTAGACAAGGATGTAGAACGGGGTCTAGCCATAACAAACAAAGAGCGAGGGGTCCGCAGATGACGGGAAGAACTGCAGGTCAGCTAGGGTAGCACGCAGCGTGTCGTGCTACTCGTGGGGCTCCTGACGCAGGCCGTAAACCGGGCGCCGAAGCAGCCATTCGGCCCCACGGACGAATGAGCCAGTGAATCCTGGCGAACGACGCAGGTAGACCTGCTCGTGTAGACTGCCCTGAAGAAACACTGTGGAGAAGTCGAGAGGGTGCAGCTCGTAGTCCCACTGTGCTGCTATGATTAGTAGCTCCCGAAGAGTGGCCATCTTCAGGGTCGGGGCGAAGGTCTGAAAGAAGTCAACATCCTCGCGCTGACTAAAGCCTCGAGCAACATAGCGTGCCTTGAACAAAGGCGGCTCTCCAGGAGGGCGCTTCACCTCGAAGAGCCACCGCTCATCAACTACGTTCAACCCAGGTGGGGGAACTGCGTTGACATAGGTGCCGCTGGATCTTCAAGATGCCATATCTTGAACCATGGCAGCTATCCACTGAGAGGCCCAGGGTCCCGAGGTTGCCTCAGCATAAGTGCGAAGGGTCGGGATATCTAGGGCGTCTGGGTCACCCTCAGGGACTAGCAGCATGGAGAAGAGATAAGGCGCCGCCTCGGACAGGAAAGCTAGCTCGTAATGCCTGTCCTCTAGGACGTCACTGCCAAGGGCAGGTGCACCCCCGACGGACGGAGGACAGGCAAGGTTAGAGACAAGAGTATTGGCGTAGTCAAGGCGGCAGGTAGAGGCAAAGTCAGCGATGGCAGCAACAAGCGCGTCAAGGCTAGAGACAGGAACAGACTGGTCGGTAACAAGGGAGGCAAGGACCCGAGGAACAAGAGGACTTGTAGCACGAAGGAAGTCAGAGAAAGGAGGCGGCGCTACAACAAGCGATGACGGAGGAGGCGACAGAGGAGGGGAAGACGAGACGCGTGGGAACGAAGCAACATAGGGTGAGAGCGGGGATCAGGAGAGACAGAACGAGCACGAGAGGGACGGCGAGACCAGACGTGCGACGGACGTGGGTCAGGATACAGAGGAGGAGTCGTAGGAGGGGAACGAGGGGGAAAGCGAGCACGAGACGAGTCCGGCGGAGGAGACACAGAGCCATAGATAGGCAGGGGAGGCGGCGGCGACGGAGGCGCAGGCGGGGGGTCGGGGGAAGGAAGACCGAGGAGGCGAAGGGCTGGCACCGGCAGAGACTTCTGCTGCTGCGGCTCCATGCCAACTCCAGCTGCACCACGGCTACCTCCAAGAAGCTCCACGTAAGCTCCCCCAGAACGGGAACCCTCTCCAACACCGTTGCCACCCCCATAACCCGTGGACCCCTGTGGCAGCGACGACTGTGACTGTGGCCGCGTTGGCGACGGCGGCTGCTGCGGCGACAGCGGAGGAAGAGACACCGGGGCGGAGACCAGCGGCGAAAACAGAGCCGCGGGGCCACCAGAGTCAGACGACTCCTCGAGCGGGACAACCGACGGGAGGGGAGTGACGTGAGACACACCAGACGGGGCAGGACGGGGGGGAGAGGAGCAAGGGCTACTGGGGGAGTGGGAACTAGAAGCAGGGGTGGGGAAACTGGGAGACCTCTGTGAGGAGAGCGCTGTAGAAGGAGACATACTATTTAAAGGTGACGTCATGCGAGTGAAAGAAGCGGTGTGACGACGGGTAGTAAAAGTGCCAGTCGGACGAGTCGAGGGGGAAACCAACGAAGACACAGGGGACTGTGCAGGTAGTGAACTTGTCTGTGCCAGAGGCAGGAACGTGAGCAAGGAATCCCCGGACGTGGAACGCAGACTAGTCACCAGGGAACCCGGTCCAGAGAAGGGTCGGCAAAACCTGCAGCCGCAGAGAGTGCGGCTACACGATAAGCTGGTGAGCGGCGTAGCGAACAGCGAATGGCCACAGAAAATGGGGTGCACCAAAACAGATCATGGAGGTACAAGCCACCTCCAGGACCAAACCGATGCGTCTCTCTGCAACCCCATTCTTCTTCGGGGTGTCCGGCAGGGTGTACGAGTGGATGATGCCCTCCGCACGACAGAATCAGCCAAGCTGACCAGAGGCAAACTCGCCACCACGGTCAGAGTTGTTGTGTGATGTCATCATATGCTATCACATTCTGTCTGCCTCCCATCCCTTGTTTCAATTCGCATGTATGGTTTGACTGTGTGTGAAAGAATTTGTGTGGTGTGTGTTCTGGAGTTTGGGAATGTGTTTCGTGTTATTCTGTTTGAGCAGGTATTTTTTATGATAGATCTTGAGAAGATCTTTCCAACGCAACAAGAATCGCTTCAATCGGAGCAAGAACGCGAAAGCTATGAAGATTCAAAGTTCATGAGCTTGCGTTACAATTGCGGCGGTTACAAAGTGAAGTTGTGGGGTGACTCTATATGGAGTTGGGACCTTTGGGGTTGGGGAAATTTGTCACTCTACTGTAACAGCTGCAAATTGGTTGGGAACAACCAAGCTAGGTTGGCAAGGGTGGCCAACTTGGATGGATTGGTTGGGAAGGGACAAATGTCAAAGTTGGGGTTCCTATAGGGGGGGGAATCTTTGTGCTTATGGGGTTTTTTTGGTTGGGGATTCTCTTGGGACCTTCCCTCTCGTCCCTCTCTTTCTATCCCAACCTTTCTCTTGCTCCTCTAATTTCTTGTGAGATTCTTGAACTTTGATTGAACTTTTGAGATTGAGTTAAGTTCTCCTCCTACAGCTTACCCCCCAATGCGTCGAAAGATATAGCGTCCTGAATACTCCATCAATCGACGTGATTCAAATTGAGAAAGGGAGCTAAGCTTACAAGCTACACCATATCCAAGTTTCGCGACATTCCAACAGCTATGTTTTTGTCGACGTCGTTTCTTGTGAAGACGACTTTTCTGTACAGAATTTCGGATTTCTATTTTGAGTAATTCTAGCTCCTAAGTTCACCTAGACTCCGTCCTTAATCCTAATAAGTGGTATCAGAGCGATATTAAGGACATTAAGAGGAGTCTACAGAAGTTTGAAGACCCTTCTAGACCCACCATGGCCTGTGGGTGTGCCTAAGTGGTGTTCTAAAGGTTGGATGTGTCTTCCGCTAAGGGGAAACTCTGCCGAAATTTCGTGGACGCTGACACTTGTGAAAATATCGAGGGAGCTGAGTGTGGACAGCAAAGGGGAGCTGAAATTTGTCATTTCTCAAAGAGAAGATGAATGAGAGAGGAGGAGATGCTAATGGAAGAGGAGCTGTACCTGAGAAGACAAGTGAGCCGCCGCCATCAAAAGTTGAAGCTTTGGATGGCTCCAACTATGAGGAATGGAGCGGGCGGATGAGGAGTGCCTTCAAACGCTACAAGCTACTGAAGATTGCTGTTGGGGAGGAGAAGATGCCGGAAGAAGGCGAAGCACGTGAACGGTGGATTGAGAAAAGCGCGGTGCTTTTCGACCTCATCCTTCAATCGGTCAACAAGGAGATGTTCGAGCACATCAAGGATCTTGTGGAAGCGGATGATTCGGGTCCAAGGGCGTGGAAACTACTACGTGATGTGATTCAGCCCAACACTCTCCCGATGGTGATCGTGCTCGAGAAGGAACTTGCTGCCATCTCCATGTGACCAGGGGACGATGTGAAGTCGGTCCTTGACAAGATCAAGGACACCTATGCAAGGATGGAAGCAGCGGGCAGCAGTGTATCTCAGCTGCAGCAGTGCACCAAGATCGTCTCGGTGTTGGACAACTCTTGGGACAACCTCATCCCCACCCTCAACTCTCAGCAAGATCAATGGACACCTGAGTGGCTAAGGCAGCAGATTTTGCAGGAGGACTTCCGTAGACGCCATGTGGGAGGTGGTGCTTCCACTAAGACTGCTGATGGGTATGGAGCTGCAGGGCGCGGGAGAGGAAGAGGGGGTTGGAGAGGCGGAGGCCGTGGGAGGAGCTTTGGCAGAGGTAGAGGCCGAGGTGACTATAATGAGGGGCATGGGAGCTCTAGTGGCAGGGGGAGTACCAGAATGGAGGGCACCTGCTGGTACTGCAAGAAGGTCGGGCATCCTTGGTTCAAGTGCTTCAGCAGGCCGGGGGGATGGGCACCTCCAGGCATGAAGCCGCCAAGTGGTGAACGCGCACAAGGTGGCACTGTGTAAGGCTCAGGTGCACAAGGTGAAGGTGCACAAGGTAATGCCTATCCTGGGATGCTTCTCATGGTTGAAGATGTGCATGGGCATGAGGGTGATGTGGGATCTGTGGGAAAGGTTGTGATGCACCCTCTCACGCACTGGGTGATTGATTCAGGTTGCACCAGTCACATGACCCCACGGGCAGATTTGCTTGATGAGGTAAAACCCCCTGGGAGGATCAAGTATGTGACAGCAGCGTCAGGTGCTTTGCTCCCTGTCATTGGTGTTGGGAATGCCAAGGTTAAGGGAGCTAATGGGGAGCTTGTGGGGCTTGGGAATGTTCTGCTGGTTGAAGGCTTGTCTGCTAACCTTTTCTCTGTGCGGCGACTGCAGAAGAGCAAGGCCCAAGTGACATTTGGACCAACCAGCTGCCGTGCTAAACTTAGGAAGAAGGTTCTGTGGAGTCTGGAAGAGGAGACCAGCTGCATCAAGGACCTATGGCAGCTGCCCATCATCCCTTGGAATGGGAAGACTCCAACAGCAGCAACGGCAGCAGCGGCAAAGGCAACTGCAGGAGGAGATGCAACTGCACCAACTGATGGGGTCTTGGAAGCAGTCAAGAAAGTGCAGAAGCAGCTGACACATGGCGAGGTGCTTGCTGGTGTGGATGCGAGCGCGGCATGGGCCAAGGCTTCATCTAGGAGTGGTGAGGCCGATTGGGAGACATGGCATGAGAGGCTGTGTCATGTGAACTTCCCTATGCTGCAGAAGTTGGTGAAGGATGGGAGCCTGAAAGGATTGGAGGTGAAAGGGGGAGTGAAGGAGATTGGGAGCTGCCCTATATGCTTGGAGACCAAGTTCTCCAAGTTCCCCTTCAACAACACTACAGGACCAGCCAAGATCCCACTTGCACTTGTGCACATGGATGTGGTGGGGCCCACAAGAGCCCCTTCCCTCTCAGGCAGCTGCTATTTCTTGACAATTGTGGATGACCACACTCGGGCAGTGTGGGTTTACCCTTTGAAGAGCAAGGGGGAGGTGGCAGCAGCTATCCTTAAGGAGTGGATGCCTAGAGCTCAGAGGGAATGCGGACACAAGGTGAAGGTGATCCGCAGTGATAATGGTGGGGAGTTCATTTTTAGCTGATTTTGAGGGGGAGTTGAAGAGGAAGAGGATCCAACATCAACTGACAGTGCCCTACAACCCGCAGCAGAATGGCATGGCTAAGAGGTTTAACAGGACCCTGCAGGAGGGGGCACGCACTCTCCTTGGGCGTGCAGGGCTGCCTAATCCGTTTTGGGTGCATGGTGGTGTTTCATGTGCCCAAGGAGAAAAGGGGGAAGTTGGAGGCTTCTGGAAGATGGGGTGTGCACTTGGGGATTGCACAGGATCACAAGGGGTGGCTGCTATGGGACTTGACCACCCAGAAGCTGACTGTGTCGAGGGATGTGAAGTTTCTTGAGTCCCTGTACTACAAGGAATGGAAGCAGCAGCAAGAGAAGCTTCCATCTACACCACTCATTGTGGAGGCAGATGAGGTGCAGCGGCCTTCAAGACAGGTGGAGGTTGCAGTGTCTGAGGAGGAGATAACTGGGGTGCCTGAGGAAAGGGGAGCAGCTGAAGTGGAGCAGCAGCAGCAGCAGCATGAGTCTCCACCTCGAGTTCCACACCTGCCTGAGCGACCTAGGAGGGATGTGCGTCCTCCGGTGAGGCTGACCTATGGGGGAAGAGGCAAGCCGAATGTGGTGCAGGCTGGGAGTGTGGTTGAGCAGATTGAGGAAGATGAGATTGCATTGTGCTATTGGACTGCAATTCCTCAACCCAAGGTACTGATGCTAGCTTCAACTTAGTGAAAGTGGATGGCACCAGCATTGGGGGTTATGTGTGCTTGCTAGGAGGTGGTGCTGTGAGCTGGCGCGGCAAGAAGCAGAATGAGGTGGGATTGTCCTCATGTGAGACTGAGTACATGGCCTTACACCATGGGGTCAAGGAAGTGGTGTGGCTGAGGCGTTTGTTGGAGGAGTTGGGAGTTGGTCAGGAGGAGCCGACAGTTGTGTTTTGTGACAATGAGTCTGCTGTGAAGCTCGTCAAGAATGCTTGTCTGCATGGGCTGACAAAACACATAAGGCCTAAGTGGCATTGGGTGAGGAGATTCCTTGATAAGGAGGTGCGGCTAGAGATAGTGAAGACCCATCAGCAAGCAGCAGATATTTTCACTAAGCGTCTGGCGGAGGCGGATCATTGGAAGGGCATGAAGCTTGCTGGGATGAGTGTGCATTGAGTATGCATGCTTGAGATGTTGGTATGGTGGATGATGGTTGGCAGCCAGAGAGGTAGATTGTTGTGTGATGTCATCATATGCTATCACATTCTGTCTGCCTCCCATCCCTTGTTTCAATTCGCATGTATGGTTTGACTGTGTGTGAAAGAATTTGTGTGGTGTGTGTTCTGGAGTTTGGGAATGTGTTTCGTGTTATTCTGTTTGAGCATGTATTTTTTATGATAGATCTTGAGAAGATCTTTCCAACGCAACAAGAATCGCTTCAATCGGAGCAAGAACGCGAAAGCTATGAAGATTCAAAGTTCATGAGCTTGCGTTACAATTGCGGCGGTTACAAAGTGGAGTTGTGGGGTGACTCTATATGGAGTTGGGACCTTTGGGGTTGGGGAAATTTGTCACTCTATTGTAACAGCTGCAAATTGGTTGGGAACAACCAAGCTAGGTTGGCAAGGGTGGCCAACTTGGATGGATTGGTTGGGAAGGGACAAATGTCAAAGTTGGGGTTCCTATAGGGGGGGGAATCTTTGTGCTTATGGGGTTTCCTTGGTTGGGGATTCTCTTGGGACCTTCCCTGTCGTCCCTCTCTTTCTATCCCAACCTTTCTCTTGCTCCTCTAATTTCTTGTGAGATTCTTGAACTTTGATTGAACTTTTGAGATTGAGTTAAGTTCTCCTCCTACAGCTTACCCCCCAATGCGTCGAAAGACATAGCATCGCGAATACTCCATCCATCGACGTGATTCAAATTGATAAAGGGAGCTAAGCTTACGAGCTACACCATATCCAATTTTCGCGACATTCCAACGGCTATGTTTTAGTCGACGTCGTTTCTTGTGAAGACGACTTTTCTGTCCAGAATTGCGGATTTCTATTTTGAGTAATTCTAGCTCCTAAGTTCACCTAGACTCCGTCCTTAATCCTAACAGGAGTGGAGACAAAGCACGGGGAGACCGCGGTGGACACGCGCAGCTACAACCCACAGGATAAGAATGTCAGGCACGTCGGCCTTCCGCTCCAGAGGAAACACCGTGGTGTAGCGTGTGTAGTCGTCGACAAGCACTAGAAAGTAGCGCTCTCGACGCGGCCTTGGGACGGGGGCTGGGCCGTCCAGGTGCAGGGTATAGAGTGGCGCAGTGGTAGGGTGAAGCGAGGAGGAGTGAGGAGCATGGCGCAGTCGACCCTCGACGCAAGGCATGCATGGCGGCGCAGGTGAGGGAGGGAGGGCAGGGAGCGACACAAGGAGACCTAGGACAAGACCGTGCTGTGACATGTGACGCAGACAAGGGAGTGCGGGGTAACCTAGGCGATGGTGCCACAGAAGCGACGGGTGGGTGAGCGACCGACATGAGTAGACCGCAGCGAACTGAGTAGACGAAGGCATCTGTGGGGAAGCCCTTAGCAAGGGGGACTCGGTGTCGAGGGTAAACATGCCAGACCGAGGGTCCTGGGGGAACGTGTTGAGGGGGGTAACTGTAGCAACGTCGGTACAGATCGCGTACTGCTCGTGTCCAGGGAACGTAGTGGTGACGCTGAGGTCCTGAAGACAGCCGACACCAACTAGGTTCCTGGAGAACGAGAGGATGTGCAGGCCCATAAGGGAGCCTGAGGGAACCACCGGACAGGGAAGGGTATTGGAGCTACGAGCAACTACAGGGCTCGAGGAGTAGTCAGCAAGCGCGGCAGCAGCAGGGGCGGCAAGCGGTGTGAGTTCAGTGTGGTCACGGAAGAAGCAGGTAGACGCGCTAGAGTCAAGCGTGAAGGAGAGTGAAGCAGAAGATGCAGCCGATGGAGGAGAGAGCGTGGAGCCTAGACTAAACAAAGCAGAAGGTCATATGCCTGACGTAGCAGGGGAGTCTAGACTACACACATGTGGCACACCTAAGCTAGGCAACATAGGGTAATAAGGTCTGGTCACACTAGAGGCATCAGTAGACAGGTAATGCAAAGCATAACAAATCTGATCCATGTTTAACTAAAAAACAGACACACCACGGTGCACATCCTGAACCAGTCGGGGAGGTCCGGCGTTGGGCCAAAGCGGCGGGGAAAGAGGTCGTCGAGGCGGCGGAAGCTGCGGGTGGTAGGGTGCAGACGACCACACACAGTGCCGCGGAAGGGGCTGGTCTGGAACTGGTACTGGCAACCCCCAGCGTTGGAGCTACCGCCCGACGCCGAGCTGCGAGGGCGGCCACCGCGGCAACCACCACCAGAGGCACCGGGCCACCCCGGCGAGAGGCGGCCCCACGACTGCTGCTGCTGCTGCGGCTGCTGCTGCTGCTCCAAGGCACCAGCCTCGGTCCCCTCATCGGAACCGCTGTCCCCGCCCCCACCTCCACCACCCCCATCACCCTGACCTCCACCACGCCCCCCCTTGGGGTGGCAGCCCCTATGCTGACGCGGCTGCGCTAAGCCCGCAGCGGCGGTCTCAGCAGCAGGGGTTGTCTCGGCAACAGCGGCAGAAACGTTAGAGTAAGTGCACTGGGAGGGTGCACATCCCTGAAAGATAGGGACTTCCGCTGTACCACTCGACTGAGCGATAGTACGCTGGCGAGTCTCTATCTCGGACAGGGCAGCGACATGGCGGCGGCGGCGGGAGGACGGCGGCATGGCGGTGGCAAGGCGGCGGCACAGCGACGGCACGGTGGCGGCACGGCAGCGGCACGGCGGCAGCAAGGCAGTGGCACGGCGGCGGCACGGCGACGGAAAGGCGGCGTCACGGCGACGGCACGGCGACCACACGGTGGTGGCAGGAACGAGAGCTGGCTCGAACGGGGCCAGCGGGGCGCAATGGACCAGCAGGGCGCTAGGGGGCCAGCGGGGCAGGAACGGGGCCAGCAAGGTGCACAGGGCCAGCAAGACGCACGGGGCCAGTAAGGGCGCACAGGGGCCAGCGGGGCACGACGAAGCCGGTGAGGGGCGGCACTAAGGCTAGGGCATACGAGGCGCACGGGGCGGACGGGGCCAGGAGGGCGCTACCGGGCCAGCGGGGCGCTAAGGGGCCGGCAGGGCGTACGGGGCCGGCGGGGTGCACAGGGCAAGCAAGGTTCGACGGGGCCAGCGGGGCGCTAACGGGGCCTGTGAGGCGCACAGGGCTAGCAGGGCGCGACGGGGCTAGTGAGGCGGACGGGGCCAGGAGGGCGCTACCGGGCCAGCGGGGCGCTAAGGGGCCTGCAGGGCGTACGGGGCTGGCGGGGCGCACGGGGCAAGCGAGGCTCGACGGGGCCAGCGGGGCGCTAACAGGGCCTGTGAGGCACGCAGGGCTAGTAGGGTGCGACGGGGCTAGCGGGGCGTACGGGGCCAGGAGGGCGCTAACGGGCCAGCGGGGCGTTTAGGGGCCAGCGGGACGTACGGGGTCAGGAGGGCGTTACCGGGCCAGCGGGGCGCTAAGGGGCCAGCAGGGCGTATGGGGCCAGGAGGGCGATAACTGGCCAGCGGGGCACTAAGGGAATAGAGAGGGCAGAAGCGGGTGGGAGGGCGGAACCTACTCGATACCATTTCAGAGTAGCGAGATCAGTAGAAACAATAGTACAGAGTACTTTTACATAGTGGGTTGTACTCTCTAAAGGCATACACCTAACTAGCCTATACTAACCTATTGCATATATTTTTGACAGATGTCTCCCTTGTTGGAAATACCTCAAGGACTTAAGCGTTTCTGAAGTGTAACACCACACTCGAGGAAGATCCTAACGGGTACGCGAGTCAACAGAGGTTACACGAAGGGATGGACAAAGAACACGAAGGGTCGCAACCGGAGGTTGCGACTGACCGTTACAACTACAAGGATGGTAACCGAAGCGACAATCGAGTCGCTGTGCGACTCGATAACCGCTCTTCAATTGTATTCTACAACTGCTTACTTTCCTACTTTCTATATATTGCTGTATGCTTGTTCTTTTAATCAATAACTTGTTCTCACATACTAGTACAAGGGTTCAACTACTCAACTTCCGCTGCACTACTCAAGTCTCCTTTTACAACTGGGACTTAGTCTCTAAAACGATCCTAAGGGCATTTCTCAGCCCAACATGGTATGAGAGCTGGTCAGCGACCAAACTCCCAGCAACTACGCTCTATCTACAATCTGCACACCAACGACTTCATTGATTACAAGTCATGGACAGCAAGGGCAAGAAAATCTCTACGGGCTCACCCAGCGCCTAAGACACTCAACCCGGCAACTCTGGACTGCACACTTCAGGACTGCAAACCGAGACCGGCGCTGCTCAAGAAACAATAGGAAGAGCACAAGAAATGGTGACCCCATCACCCTCTTCAAGCGTGGACCCGAACCTTATGGAAAGGTTCTTCAGCTTCATGTCGCACTTCGACCAGCAGCAGCAGACAAGGACACCTGCGCATTCAACATAGAGCAACGGAGGAAACATGGGATTAGCGCCAATGAGCCTCGACAACTCATCGTTCGGGCGACACAATCAAGCGCCTACCTTTGCGCCTTATCACTCTTCACCGGGGACGTTCGAGTTCATGCCGCCCCGTGCCCAACCAACAGCAGCTACATCACAACAGACACCAAACGAGATTTTAAGTCTCCAGGCGCAGTTTTCACACGTAATTAAACTGCAGACATCCTCACCGTTCAACGGGTCCCTGCCATTCCCAAGCAACGGCACTGCAAAAGAGCAAGAAATTTTCACGTACCAATCGCTGCTGGCGTACACAATTCTCCTGCGGAACCTGTCACCACAAGAACAGCAAAGCATCAGAACGTATTGGAGCTATGGAAACTCCGCGGAACTCACATGGCATCACCTCAAGTGTCTCTATCAAGCAAACGACAGTGTGACACAAAGCAGACTCATGCAGTAGCTGACAACAATACAGATGAAGACCGGGGAAAAGGCAATGCAGTATATGAGTCGATGCCAGACACTCCGCGACCGCCACGGCGGTGCGGAGGAACAATCACTGAAGAAAGCTTCGTGACACTTGTCCTCGCTGGGCTCGGGCCAGAATGGAGAACCACCCGCTCGCTCCTTCGCGCCCACGGACGAATCTCGGAGATGCACCTCTGCGTCGAGCTCCATGCTGAACAACAAGAGATGGACCTGTTTGAAGAAAGACAACCAAGGAAGCAGCAACCGTTAGTCTTATACACTCAACGAAGGAACGACAACAACTACAATCGACGCGGCAAGCAAGATCAACGCGACAACAGAGGACTCACCATTGTGCCGCCGTTCTGCCACAACTGCCAAACATCCGGACACTCCAAAGTCAACTGCACACGTCCGAGAGCTTATCGTCCAGTAGACCCACAAGTCGCTTCCACTCAAGAAAGCCCACCGAGACGTTCATCCTCAACTGCACAAGGCACACCAAACATCATCAATTGCATGGTACACATCGACAGCTGCGCACCAGGATCACCACCCACTTACGCTCCAGACAAAGAAGAACTGCCGCCGCCACGCTTACAAGGACTTCAGGTTAATCCGACATATGCTGCAGTCGCCAACGCCGAACCCACCGGACGAAACACCTGGTTCTTGGATAGCTGCTGCGGTCAACACATGTGTTCTTCCGGGCGCTTCGTGCAGCGCGAGCGACGCCTCAACCGTGATGGCGACAGTAATGATGAGGCGTCGCTCATCACTGTCGCCAACAACGAGAACCTGAAAACAAACAGACAAGGCGTCGTTCAGCTTCAGTCAATGGAGACGAACGTCATACTACAACTCAACAAAGTTCTAATCGTCAACAACTTGGGATACAACTTACTCTGCGTCAGCCAGTTGATGGCAAAAGGTATTCACCTGGAATGCGACTCGGACTCCAACGAATTTCGTCTTTACCACAGGAAGGGCGGCCTCTTCATCGGTCGCGCTCTCCTAAAGTCTGGCGTCTTCGTGTTGGATTTCGTCCCCGACCGCGGCACTGCCGACAGCGATGGCATCGTGTCGTTCGCAGCCTGGACGCACCCGCCGGATCTTGACCCCGAATTCACCCCAGATGGATTCTGGTACTCCAACACCATACCTACAGCAGAAAGAACACGAGCGTTAGCCGTCATCAGACAAGAAAGACAAGTACCAGCAAGCGTCTCTTCCCAGACATCACCTGCAGTAGCAGTAGCAGGACCCAGCCGAGTACCATCACCAGCGATCCAAGGACCGCCAACCGAAGCAGATCAACTTATGCCCATCACACGTGAAGTCTGCCGAAGTCCCGCCACGGTCGGCGCGTTCTTCTCCAACGTCGACATGTACCAACGCTCGCCCGGCCATCGCGCCCCCGACGACATCTGGCACCAACGCCTTGGGCATCCTGCAAACAACATGGTACTACAAACCATCCAAGCCGAAGTGTTAGAGAGAAACGCTCTTCTTACAACGAGCGGACAAAAACTTCGACGACCACGCGCACGGTGCTTCACGTGTCCCGAAGCCGTTCTTCCTCACCAACCTTTTCCATCACATCACAACCCAAGCGCACCTGCATACGCACCGATGGAAAAAGTTTACAGCGACATCTTAAACATGCCTCGAGACGACACTGAAGCCGACTTCAACTATGTCATCACGTTCATCGATGCAGCAACAAGATATGTCTGGCACTACAACCTCAAGACGCGCGATCAAGCTTTCGAAGCCTTCACGACGTGGCTCCCCATCGCTGAACGAGAATCGGGAACCAAGGTCAAGAGCTTCCAGTCAGATGGCGCACTGGAATACCAGTCACAACGATTCAGGAACTACTTGGCGGAAAGAGGAATCAGACGCCTGGTGTCTCTGCCCTACGCTCACCAGCAGTAGGGGGTCGCAGAAAGAATGAACCGGACCTTGCAGACGACGATGCGGAAGCTGCTCCTGGGGATGAGACTGCCCAACACACTGTGGCCAGACGCGATGACCCATGCAGTCCACCTGCACAATTTGTTATCCTCGTCCTCGCTTCCCAACAACGCATCACCGCACCTGCTGTGGACACGAAAAAGGGGCAGCACAAAATTACTTCGCGTTTTCGGCTGCATGGTACAGTACAGACCCCACACAGCCCGAGCAGGACGATTCACTCAACGAGCACGGTGGGGATTACACCTCGGCATCGCAAAACATTTTCAAGCATGGAAAATCCTCGACATACAAGACAAAAATACCGTGGCATCACATGATGTGATCTTCTACGAACGACTGACGCTGCAGCATTACCTGGACAACGTCGCCAACACAGACGACCCCACTGACGGTGTCACAGGCCTTCGCTCCTTCGCCGACCGTGCTGCCGAGGCTGACGCAGCAGAAGAAGACGTACCTGGAGCTTCGGAAGCTGCCGGACCACTCCCTTACTGTTCCGTGCCTGTTCCCCTCGACGAAGACAATCCTCTCGATAGTAACAACCTCGACACCCTTTACCACTTCGCTGACCAAGGTTACATTACACCTCACCCGGTCGACACAAATGTCTCAGAACGTATCGGCCCAAACTTCTTACCTGATCCAGAAGATGGTGACGAAGCAGCCTATTCGGGGAATGAAAATTCCCCTCGACACACACCCACGGGACTGCAGATACTCGGCTTATGGGTCTCCGTCCAGCATCCGCCGCCGCCGTCTCCGCACGAGCCAACGACCCTGTCGCAGGCTCTGGGGGGGGAACACAAGGCGAAATGGAAGGAAGCAATGGAAAGGGAACTTAAAGCTCTGGAAGACCGAAATACATGGAAGCTGGTATCCGCAACGAACATCAACGGGAAGAACGTTCTCTCGGGAAAATGGGTGTACCGCATCAAGACCAATGCGGACGGCTCCATTGAACGATTCAAAGCTCGGTGGGTCGTACGAGGATTCTATCAACGATACGGAACCGACTACACAGAAACATTCACCCCAGTCTCCCGTCACACCTCCTTGCGCATCCTACTCGCCGTCGCGGCCACGAAGAAACTACCACTGCGCCAGATCGACGTGGCAAATGCTTTCCTGTACGTACCTGTGGACGCCGAGATCTTCGTCGAGCAGCCCCACGGATTCATCGACGACCCCACAAAAGTATGCCAGCTGATAAAATCCCTTTACGGGATCAAGCAAGCCCCGCGGCTTTGGCAGCAGCATCTTCACGGTCGCCTCGTCAGAATCGGATTCCTACAGCTGCCGCACGACCAAGGCATGTACCGACTACAGAAGGAAAGGGAATTTATCCTACTCATCATCTACGTCGACGACCTGCTCTACATCGGCTCCACTACTGACATCGTCACCTGGTTCGATGGGGAGCTAAAAAGGGACTTGACACTCATGGTGTCAGACACCGTAACCCAGTACCTGGGTCTGAACGTCGTCGAAGACAACTCGGCGTTCTACTTATATGCTGAAAAATACGCAGGCGTCGTCGCAAAGAAGTTTGGACTAACACCAACTATAGTCATGACTCCCTACCGCTACGGGAACAACAACGACACCTCCGCAAAACTCCCCGCGAAGCAAATCCAGGAGTATCAGCAGAAGCTCGGCTGCCTACTATTCACAGCAGTAACCTGCCGACCTCACCTATCCTACATCGCGAGCCAACTGGCGACGCATCTGAAGCAGCCGGAACAAGAAGATCTCGAAGAACTAAACCGGGCACTACTCTACTTCGTCTCTATGCCGACGACCGGACTTACCTACAGCAAAGTAACAACACCGTTCGTACAACTACTCGGATACGTCGACGCCGACCACGCGGGAGACAGGGAAAATCGACGATCAAGAACGGGCTACATCTACCGACTAGAACCTATCGGGACTATCTCCTGGCAGTCGAGTAAACAGGAACTAATCGCACTATCTTCGGCTGAAGCATAATATATCGCCCTCTGCACCGCGACCAAGGAAGGACTCTACCTGCGAGAGTTACTCGAGGAAGCAAAGATTGCGACCCTGCCCGTCTTTTCACTCCTCTGCGACAACCAATATGCGATCAAAATCGCGAACAAGGACGGCTTCGCCAACCGAACCAAGATAATCGCCCTGCGATACTTCTTCGTCAATGATGAAATCGCGAAGGGGAGACTTCAACTCAGTTACTGCCCTACGACAGAAATGGCCGCAGACTACCTGACGAAGAAACTAGCGAAGGCAAAGTTCGATTACTGCATGCTGCTGACCGGGCAGACAAACATCATCGGATCTGAACACGTCAGCATTCCAGAAACGAAGGGGAGTGTTGGAAATACCTCAAGGACTTAAGCGTTTCTGAAGTGTAACACCACACTCGAGGAAGATCGTAACGGGTACGCGAGTCAACGGAGGTTACACGAGGGGATGGACAAACAACACGAAAGGACTCGAAGGGTCGCAACTGGAGGTTGCGACTGACAGTTGCAACTGCAAAGATGGTAACCGAAGCGACAATCGAGTCGCTGTGCGACTCGATAACCGCTCTTCAACTGTATTCTACAACTGCTTACTTTCCTACTTTCTATATATTGCTGTATGCTTGTTCTTTTAATCAATCACTCGTTCTCACATACTAGTATAAGGGTTCAACTACTCAACTTCCGCTGCACTACTCAAGTCTCCTTTTACAACTGGGACTTAGTCTCTGAAAAGATCCTAAGGGCATTTCTCAGCCCAACATCCCTTGTGTGGGTTGTCTCATCTCGAAAGGGGTGGTGGTGTAAGGAGATTCCTTTTCCTTATTGGGCTAAACTATAGCGTGTACGTCATCAACCTTGGAAAGTTTAGGCTCGGCCTGCCTTTTCGGTCCCAAACCACATTCACAACCCCAAACCTTGACGCGAGGGCTATTTAGTAGCTTTCGCTAACCGAACTGCCCCAAACTCAAACTGCTCGCATGGTTCTCGACTAGCACAATAATTCCTATGAATTCCCTAGTCTTTCATTTGTATCGACACTCTTGTATCACGTTTCTTTATTGCACTGCGCATTACTACTCTGATTGATTCATACGGTACTAAATGGTACATCAAGAAAATTGTTAGTTGAAAGAGAAGCTGAGATGCTCATCCGACGAAATGATATTCGCCTTGTTGTTAGCGAGTCATTCAAAAGCGACCTAATGCGTGTCAGAAGTGTTCCCGCCATTCTGACACCCAGTTTGAACATCACGAAGTCCTCGAGGCGCGAAGCAATCAGAAGCTCGGTGGAATGAAGCAAGCAGAACCGAGGCTCGCGCTGCAGCTGTTCTGTTCTCGTCACATCGACTTCTCACTTCACAGATTTCCAGTTCTGAGTTCTCGAAAGCACAGACTAGAGTTGGTCATTAGGAAACTGACCGTCCCCATTCGAGGCTGACAAGGTAAATCCTTCACGTTCTAACCAGGCTTCCATCACTGTCCGGTTCACTTCACCATCGTCGTATAGTGCCGCTCACTCCTCGTGAGTATCAGTGTCCCAGGATCCTTCGTCCAACGACGTGGCTAACAGGATGGCAGAGATTCAGAAGCGCGCGTTGCAAGACATTTCGAACGAGCTTATCGAGCTGACGAGGTAGAAGGAGGCTGTGATATGACGTCCGGATACTTGTGCCGCGTGTGACGGTGTAGGAACCCTCTATTCCGTATCACTTGCTTCCCTCGTCCATGTTCTCCCGTGACCTACTCGTGGATTCTTTTCGAACGAGCTTGTTTAGCGGACGAGGAAGAATCAACTTGTATTAATACTTTCAGATTCTTCCTGTCGCTTGTGACGAGGTAGGAACCTTCTATCCTGGGTCTGTCCCTTCCTTCGTCAATGTTCTCCGTTTCCGTTCTCGCGGATTTCTTTTCGTGCCACTGGCTCCTTTCCCTTCTTCTCGTCGGTGTCCTTTTTAGCGGATGCCCTAGTTGTTGGCCGTGGTTGACCTGACACGGAATCGTCTCAGCCTGGGTATCACGCCGTCCGTCGCCCTCCCCCGCGTGCATCGCAATCGTCGCAGGGTGCGCGACGAGCGTCGCAAGGATGGCATCGCGACTGGCGACGCCGCAGCTCTGGTGGAGGTGGACGGCGCGGCCAGCCAGGTGAGGGGGAGACGACGATATCTCATACGGTTGCAACTTGATTCGTAGTACGCTGATACGCCATTTTTCGTCCGGCGCTCTTGACCTCTCTGTCGCATCTTGCGTGCCCGGTATGGCGTGCTTCGCTAGGCGGCCGTGGAGCGCGTGAAGACGAATCTCGTGGAGAGCGGCGTGAATCTCGCGCTGCTGCACTACCTCAGCCACGCGGGGCCGCTGCTGCTAAGGGACACATGGCACCTGCCGCGAAGCAAGACAGACGCTGGTACGCTGTGCACGCAACGGCCGCACGACGAATGGAAATGAACGCCGAGGAGCGCACAGCTGTCGTGCTCTTCGTCTCTTGCCCTCCCACCCCTCACCCGCCATTATACCCGCTTCGTCCTTCGCCGAGCCCAACTTTCGATCTCGTTTCAACTCCCGACCACCAGAGGCACAGCGGCAGGAGCTCAAGGCGGCGAACTACGAGGTAGACATGGTCGCAGATGACAGATGCGACGCCCTGCGACAGACGTGCGACATGCTGGGGGAAGGTGAGGCCCTGCTACCGGTGATATGGGATGCTTGGCGATAAAGATGTGTGGCGATGGGTGATGAATGGCGATGGTTGATGCGTGGTGATGTGATGCGTGGTGATGTGATGTGTGGTGATGTGATGCGTGGTGATGTGATGTGTGGTGATGTGATGCGTGGTGATGTGATGCGTGGTGATGTGATGTGTGGTGATGTGATGCGTGGTGATGTGATGTGTGGTGATGTGATGTGTGGTGATGTGATGTGTGGTGATGTGATGTGTGGTGATGTGATGCGTGGTGATGTGATGTGTGGTGATGTGATGTGTGGTGATGTGATGCGTGGTGATGTGATGTGTGGTGATGTGATGCATGGTGATGTGATGTGTGATGATGTGATGTGTGGTGATGTGATGTGTGGTGATGTGATGTGTGGTGATGTGATGTGTGGTGATGTGATGTGTGGTGATGTGATGCGTGGTGATGTGATGCGTGGTGATGTGTGCGTCATTGCACCTTCAGTGTGAGACAGGGTACGGCGCCCTCATTCTCCTCCTCCCCGTCCCGTATGCGGCCCCACTGATCCACATGTCAGAAATCGAGGCTGTGGAGGGAAACGATCTGGATGCGAAGCTGAGCGCGTTGGCTGACGAGGTGCGTGCGTGTAGGCCGTCCGGCCTTGCCTCTCTCGCTCACAGCCACTCTTCCAGAAGCCCTCGCCCACCCCTCCTCTCCTCACCTCTCCCTCCCCGCTTCCCCAGCCACCACGGTCGAACCTGCTTTCCTTCCGCTCCCTCCATCCGCCCCTCCACACACCCCCCTTCCTATTGACCCCCTTCTTCACTCGCCTCCCCCTCCTCCCCCACCTCCGCTAACCGCCCTCCCTCATGCGCTCAACACCTCTTCCCTTCACGTCATCCCTCAAATGCGGCTTTGCTCGTTCCCTCCCCTCCAATCCCCATGTCAGCCGCATGTGAAGCCACGTGCGTCCCCTCCAAAACACGCTCCTCCAATCCCCCCTGCTCCTCCGTTCCACCTTTTCCCCACTCTCTCGTCCTCCCCCACTGGCTCCTTGCGCCTCACCCCTCCCCCCCTGCCCTGCCAGCTCGCAGCCCTGGAGCGGGCAGAGGCGGCGCGGCAGCGGGTGGGGGCAGCAGAAGGGCACGCGGCATGCGGGGCGGACGGCACGGGCTTGGAGGTGAGGAGGGGGGCGGTTGTAGGTGCTCCAGGTGTTGGTGGCTCTGAGAAGGAGGGAGGGGAGGGGGTGGATGGAAGTTCTGCAAGTGCGAAGAGGGGTGGCAGAAGCAAGGCATGGGAGAGGATGGCGCAGTGATGACACCCTGCCTTGAGAGAGGGGCGGTTTGAGTTCCATGAGGGAGGCTTTGATGCGCTTTGAACTCTTTCCTCTTACCCCCTCTCATCCTCTCTTACCCCCTCTCCCCTCGTTCCCCCTCCCCCTCTCATCCCCTCGTTCCCCCTCCCCCTCTCATCCCCTCGTTCCCCCTCCCCCTCTCATCACCTCGTTCCCCCTCCCCCTCTCATCCCCTCTGGCTCGTGTGACATGGCAGATCAACGCCCCAGCCTCCTCTTCTCACCACAAGACTGTCTGGCAGCCCACCGCGCTCACTACTAGTCTCGACTGAATTTCCTCCTGGTGGCGCACCTCGCATCTGCCGGCTCAACCCTGTCTCGCTGCGATGCCCCTCCGTCTCCCCCCCTCCCACCTGCAGGAGTCGCAGGTGGCAGCTCTGAGTGCCACCAGGGCGGACCTGCTGGCCGCACTGCAGCGCTGCTCGCTGGCTGAAGGGCTCTCCTCGCAGGTGGCTGCTGCTGAGTCACGCCTTCATCAACTGGTGATCCCGCCTTGCACATTCCCCACGCGCCCCACATGCATCACATGCATTCCACGCATCACATGCCCCACATGCCCCACATGCCCCACATGCTCCACATGCCTCACATGCATCATTTGCAGCAGCGTCTACACCCGCCACACCACCTGCATCCTTCACACCACCTGCATCCCTCACACCACCTGCATCCCTCACACCACCTGCATCCCTCACACCACCTGCATCCCTCACACCACCTGCATCCTTCACACCACCTGCATCCCTCACACCACCTGCATCCCCCACACCACCTGTCTCTCCGTGCTGCCTTTTCTCGCTCCACAGGATTCGGACCAACAAAAAGCCAATGCGGGGAGCCAACGCGGTGCCGGGTGAGTTGCGCCAAGGCAGTGCCGGGTGAGTTGCGCCAAGGCAACTTGGTGCACAGATGAGCAGGTGCGGACAGGTTCGGCGCATGGGAGCGAATGGCACATGAGGATGTGTATGGTTCAGCGTGCACTCATGCTTTCATGGGTTGCACTCATGCTTTCATGGGTTGCACTCCACTCCCAATGCGCTCAGGTAGGTTGACTCGTGGCATCCATTTTTCCCCTGCTCCTTTAGTTGTAGGCATTTGCCCCCCTGACGCGCCCTTCCATTCTCTCCCCATCCACCTCGCTCACCGCATCCCTTCCCCCTTTCACCCTCCTTCGCCCCATCCTGTTCCTCCCTACCGTGTGCCCACCTTCCTGCCCTCTCCCTCTCCCCCATTTCAGACCACCAATCGGCACCATCCCCCACCGCACACCACCGCTCCAAGCCAGCGAGGCAGCGGCATCAGTGCAGCAGCTGTCCGCCCTGCTGTGCCCTGCCGCCCTCACAGCGCAGACCGCCCACTCCCTCACTCTCCGCCTCTCCCTCCCACCCTTGCACTCGCACCCGAGCCCTGCACATGCTGCTGTACCCACCTCTGCCACAGAGGGAACTGCTTCTGCTCAGCTGGCGCATGGCGGGGCAGCGGCGGGCGGCAGTGCGAGCATGGAGGTGCAGGTGCTGCCGAGGGGAGGGGTCGCCAGTGCTACCATTGTGAGACGCCTCGTCCCGTCCCGTCCCGTCCCTCCCCTTGCTGCTGCCTGCAGCCCGTCTGCTGCTGCTCGTTTCAACATCCGACACACACGATATCTTTTCCGTTCCCCGCTCCCATCCCATCCCCGCTATTTCCGAATGCAAAGCGTTTCTTGTGCCCGCAACCTCCCCTCCTTGCGCCCTGCCACCTCCGTGCGCCTCACCTGTCGCCTTCCCTGAGTGTTCCCACGTCCTCCTCCCTTGCAGGAGGGTGATGGCATCTCTCTGCGCTCTCTACCTCTGCACCCTGCAGGCCATGCTGCTGCCAGGTGTGACTGGCTTGCTGCTGACAGGTTGGACTGGCATAGCATGTGAGCCTTGCTGATTTCCTTTAAACAAGATTGGATTTTATTTTTCCGACATCAGCCCATTCATAACTAACGCCACGATGTTACTCTCAAGTCCTCTCTATCGTTCCACCATTCTTCCAGGCCCACACAGCTCCACCAGCAGCAGCAGCACGGCGTGAGTAGCGTCGTGCCAGTGGCAGCAGCAGTGGCGGAGGCCAGCTGCCTGCTGCGCCTGCTGGCGCTGCGCAGGGAGCACATGGCTCGTGCCCTCGAGAACGCCCCCATGCCTCCAAGGTGCGCGCCTTGAAGCGGCATCCCCTGTGTGTGGTTCAACATTGTGGACAAGTCCCGTGTACGCACCATCCTTTTCTTTGCTGCCATCCCTTGTGCCCTCACCTCCTCTCCTCTCCCCTGACCGCCTCCCTAGCTCTTCCTGCACGCCCCACCCCTGCACGCCCCACCCCTGCACGCCCCACCCCTGCACGGCCCACCCCTGCACACCCCACCCCTGCACGCCCCACCCTGTGCGGCCCACCCCTGTGTGGCCCACCCCTGCACGGCCTACCCCTGTGCGACCCACCCCTGTGCGGCCCACCCCTGTGCAGTGCGGCCCACCCCTGTGCGCCCCACCCCTGCACGCCCCACCCCTCCACGGCCCACCCCTGCATGGAGCACCCCTGCACGGCCCATGGGTGGCAGGTGCCCGGTGGAGCTGGCGGGGAGGACGCCTTCACAGCCGGGCAGCAGTGCCACCACCATCCCTCTCGTTGCTCCTTGCGGCCCCCCTTGCGCCCTCACCTGTCTTCTCCCCCCCCCTCGCCCCAACCCCCCTCGCCCCAACCCCCCAGGTACCTGGTGGAGATGGCAGGCCAGGACGCCTTCATTGTCAGGTGGGCCAACGGCGCCACCGTTACCCTCCGGGCCTGCAACGACTGGCCAATGCTGGGCGGCCATCTGGCAGTGGCAGACGTGGCGCTGCCCCAGACAGCCCAGTCAACGGAGGAGAAGCAACAGCTGTGCTCGCTCCTGGACAATGCTGTGGTAAGGCCGGCAGTGCTGTGGTAATGCCAGCAGTGCTGTGGTAATGCCGGCAGTGCTGTGGTAATGCCCGACAGTGCTGTGGTAATGCCGGCAGTGCTGTGGTAAGGCGGGCAGTGCTGTGGTAAGGCGGGCAGTGCTGTGGTAATGCCGGCAGTGCTGTGGTAATGCCGGCAGTGCTGTGGTAAGGCGGGCAGTGCTGTGGTAAGGCCGGCAGTGCTGTGGTAATGCCGGCAGTGCTGTGGTAATGCCGGCAGTGCTGTGGTAAGGCCGGCAGTGCTGTGGTAAGGCCGGCAGTGCTGTGGTAATGCTGGCAGTGCTGTGGTAAGGCCGGCAGTGCTGTGGTAATGCCAGCAGTGCTGTGGTAAGGCGCCTGATGCAGCACCCATGCATCGTGGCACAGCAGGCATGTGTTGCTGTTCTTGCCTGCTGCCGTGACTCTCCATTCCACCTGTCCTGGCAGGGTAAGCCCATTGACCATTAGCCAGAACAAGCTACTACTGCTGTGCTGACTGTCTCCTCCCCTTCCTTTACCTTCCCTTACCTTCCCTTCCCTTCCCCCTGTCTTGGCAGGGAGCGGTGCAGCAGCAGGGCAGCGAGCCCCAGGCGCTGGGAGCGGCGATCGAGGCCGTGAGTGCGTGCCTGCGCAGGGCCATGATGACAGCGCTCAAGAGGGCGCGACGAGGTGACGGCGTCAACACGTGAAGCCGTGACGATGTGTGGTGGTGCTCTGGTTGATATGCGAAGGTGGAACAGGGGAATGGGAAGGACGTGTGAATAGGGGCAGTAGCCTAACAGCAAGTACAGGTATGCCGCAAATGTGCAATCGTGATACTTGGTCAGTCGTATGTAGACCAGCATCTAAGTATACTTCTGATCTGAGCGGCATTGTAAAATGATTAAACTTCCTAACACGGGCCTGGTCAACAAACTTATATATCTACTGGTATTTGATTAGTTACGTTATTTGTGTTTGTATAGCCTAGTTAGGTCAGCTAATAGGGAGAATACTTCTTGTGTACTTGTATCCCCCCTTCTCTCTTTCTAGTCACTTTTCATCGCGCTACTTTGACATGCTATCAGAGCTAGGGTTAGCTCCCCTGTAGCGCCACACTTCCGCCCGCAGTGTAGGTTTTTTTTTTTTCCAGCGCCCTTCCCGCTCCTCAATTTCGCGACTCGTAGGTTCGCAACCCACACCCCCCCTCCCCACCCCCCCCCCCCCCCCCCCCACAACGCAGCCAGCGCACTAGTCGCCAGCTAACTCGCCAGCCAGTTAGCCAGCTCGTTAGCTAGCCAGACAGCCAGTGCGCCAGCCAGCACGCCAGCCAACTAGCCTGCCAGCGCGCTTGCCAGCACGCCAGCCAGCCTACCAGCCAGCGCGCCCGCCAGCTCGCAGGCCCACTAGCCCGCTCGCCGCTGGCTCGCCCACTTGCAGCCGCCAGCCAGCTTGCAGCAGGCTCGCCAACCAGCTGCCACCAGCAGCCGCCAGCCAGCTCGCAGCTGGCTCGCTAGCCAGCAGCCACCAGGAGCCGCCAGCAGCCGCGTGTCAGCTCGCGGCTGGCTCGCTCGCCAGCAGCCGCCAGCCAGCGCGCCAGCCAGCTCGCCGCAGCCGCCGCTGCCACTGCTGCCTCCCCACTCCTCTCGCTGCCGCTGCCGCTGCCGCTGCAGCTGCCACTGCTGCCGCTGCCGCTGCTCCTGTCGCTGACGCCGCTGGCGCTGCGGCCACTGCTGCCGCCGCTGCCGCTGCAGTCGTCGCTGCCGCTCTAGACGCCGCTGCCACTGCGGTCGCTGCTGCCACCGCTCCTGCCACTGCCGCCGTTGCAGCTGCAGCCGCCACTGCCACCACTCCTCCCGCCGCTCCTGCCGCTACCACAACTAGCCAGCAGCTGAACCGCCGCCACCGCTAGCGAGCTTGCAGCGCTGCCACCACCAGCCTGCTCGTCGCTGGCCCGCCGCCGTCGCCACCCCGCAGCCAGCTAGCCGCAGTTACTGCTGCCCCTCCCGCCACTGCCGCTGCCGTCGATGCCACCGGCTCTCACTGCAGCACCCACCACTACTGCCCTTGACGCAGCTGTCGCCGCTGTCTCCGCTTCTGCCACCTCCATCTTCACGGCCGCAGCTGCCACCTCAGCGGCCAGCATGTCGACGACCAGTGTCTTCGTTCTGCGCCTGGATGGGGAGGGGCAGGTGGTCCGTTTCGTCGCCTGGCAGGAGACAGTTCTCCTGCAGCTCACAGATCAGCCCGTCGACAACAAGTTCCTGGACGCCCACCTCACTGGTGAGCTCCCTGCTGTCCCCCACCCAGGCGCTCTTGCTGCTGACGCGACATCTGCGTAGCAGGCTGTGCCCGCTGCTGCTCGTACCGCCTACTCCGTCTGGGCGTCCCGCGATGCCACTGCTCGCGTCACCATCCTCAGGTGCCTGTCGGTTGACGAGCACTCCCACTTTTTGGATACCGCGTCAGCCCGCGCCCTCTGGATGGCTATCCTAGCTAGGTACTCCACCTCGTCATCTGCCACTCTTGGTCGTCTCCTCCTCGCTTTCTTCCACCTCGACCTGACTTCCTTTACCACTATAGCAGACTTAGTCGAGCACCTGCGCTCTCTCGAGGCCCACCGGCATGCGGCCCGTACTGAGGCCCACCTCGTGCTCGTCCCGGCCCCCCTCTACCCCACTATCTACTTCCTTGTCACCCGCCTCCCTGACCGCCTTGCCCCTGCCCGCAATGCGCTCCTAGTTTGTCACCCTTCTTAGCTCACCATTGACCACTTCTCTACCTCCCTGACCGAGGTAGAGGACTGCTTCCGCGTCATCGCTAGTTCCACTGGCACACCGGCGACCCCTATCTTCCAGTGTAGCGCTCCCTCCCAGGTGACTGTCCCTCCTGCCACCGCCTCTGTTGCCGTGACTGCATTGGTTGCCTCTGCACCAGGCCGCTCCTCTGGCGGCAAGGGCAGTGGGGGCAAGGGCCGTGGGGGGTTGGCAACAGTGGGTGGAGGGGGTTCGGGTGCAGATGGAGAGGGTAGTCACTTGGAATCTGGGACTACGCAGTAGCAGCAGCAGCTGCAACTGTCACAGGATCGAATAGGTTGAGAGAAAGTTGCACTATCGATCGATACAAGGCGCTTTTATACTTCCAAGGTACGTCGCGTAACCAGGTTTATCCTATCCAAAAGGAATAGACCCTTCTAAAAATACAATCACCTTGTGAATAGCCATACGAGGCTATTGGCTTTAAGGGATTACGACAGGACTACGCTAGATATAGCATGCCCGTACATCCCGAGCCTGGTCCGTGGTATAACAATAATAATAGGATACACCAAAGGATAACGGAAAATGAGGAATAGGAAACCAAATGAGATGAGATAAAGATCAAATGAATAAGGATAAAAATGAGAGTGAGATATGGAAGAAATGTATAAATGAGAAAGAAGTCTAATAGGATCGTACTCTCACACAACCCCTCCTCAAAGCTAGGTGGTAGAAGTAACACCCTGCTTGATAAGGTAGTCGCGAGGAGGACGACAGGCGTTACCCATGTCGGTTTCAGAGACCCACCTATCCTCAAAAGGATCATAACCCTTTCAACGGATAAGAAATTCCAAGGTGTCATTCCGACGACGACGGTGTGCAAGCACGGACTCGACCTCGTTCTCGGGTTCATCATGGACAAGGACGGGTGGCGGTGGCGGTAACGGTTGTCGACCGGTGAAGATCGTGTTGGGATTACGGTACAACTTCAGAAGTTGGACATGGAAGGCTTTGTGAATGTTCGAGGTAGCTGGCAGGCGTAAGCGGAAGGTAACGGTGGTAACCTGTGCGTCAACAAGGAAAGGCCCGCAGATGTAAGGTCGCAGTTTGGATGGGAGATGGTTGATGTCGATATTGCAGTTGTAGAGGAGAACATGGTCTCGGACAGTGATGGTGTGGTCATTGCAATGGCGATCGATCGGGCACTTTTGTTGCTGCTGAATATCAATGAGGCGCTTGTGGGTCCGATCCCAAAGCTGATGCATGGTGGTGATGAAATCATGTGCAGATTGGACGGTGGCTAGTACAGTTGGTTTCTGTAAGATGAGCGGGTTGCGTCCGTAACAGAGGAAAAATATTGTCTGTCTGGTAGCAGCATGAGTGGCGTTGTTGTAGGCAAACTCCAAGACGGGTAGGTGCAAGTCCTATTTAGAGATGTCGTCATTGCATGCTGCCCGGAGGAGTTGCTCTACAATTTGGTTGAGGCGTTCGGTTTGTCCGTCTGTCTGTGGATGGTATGCAGATGACATGACGAGTTTGGTGCCAAGTAGAGACATAAGTTCTCTAAAAAAATTGGTGGTGAACGTAGGATCTCGGTCGGGGATGGGTGTGATCAGAATGCCACGCAGTGAGATGATGTAGCGAGCGAGTAGTTGTGCCGTCTCCTTAGTGCATGCTGTTGTGTGTGTCAGGATGAAGTGTCCCATTTTGGAGAATTTGTCGATGACGACAAGGATTGCGTCGTGACCATTAGTGGTAGTTGGTAAACCGGTTACGAAGTCCTTGCTAACCACTTGCCATGGCTGTTTCGTGAGAGGAAGAGGCTGTAACAATCCTGCTTTCTTCTGCTTACTACACTTCATCCGCTAACATGTGTCCCACGAGGTGACGAATTTGTGTACGCCGTCTGCCATGTGGGGCCAGTAGTAGTGCTTTGCAATACCCGTGAGCGTCTTGTTGCTACCCAAGTGTCCGGCGTATAGGACACCGTTCTATTCTTCGAGTAGTAATTGGGGCAAAGGTGGGTGGTTGGGTACTCAGAATTTCGTTGATCCTTTCCGGTACGCCATGTCACTATCCCACTGGATCAGATGTCGTTTCTCTGCCAAGGGAATCTCGAGGTCGATGGCGTACCCGTGTGTGAAGAGTCCCTTGAGTAGCGGGTTTATCCCTTCGACCTGGATAGCGGCAACGTGTGCAAGCCGGCTGAGAGCATCTGCTTTGTTTTTGTGGCCTGGCTTGTACACAATGTCGTATTGGAAGAGCCTCTCGAGGAAGTCAATCCACTGAACCTGCCACCTAGAGAGGTTTGGCTGTGTCTTCAAATATTCCAAGCTGCAGTGGTCAGTGTAGACTGTCGTTTTCCATCCTTCGAGATAGCGTATCCACGTTTTGAAGTCGATGACAATAGCAAGGGCCTCTTTGTTGTTTATCGGATAATTTAGTTGTGCCTCGTGTATCTTTTACTGAGGTAGGCGATTGGTTGCAGTCCATTCCCTGGGCCTTGCATCAAGACATCTCCCACTATCTGGTCACTGGCGTCAGCTTCGATGACGTAGTCGCGTTCGAGATCTGTCAAGATGAGTATGGGTGCGGACATGAGTGCCTGTTTCAATTGCTCCATGGCTTTCTGATGTTTTGGTTTCCATTGGTAGGGCGTGTTCTTCTTCAGCCGATTCGTCAGTGGTGCGGCAATTTTTGCATATTGTGGCATGGACATGTTGTAATAATTAGCGAAGCAGAGAAACTCCTGTCCCTCCTTCACGTTCTTGGGCATCTTCCACGTGCGTATGGCTTCAATCTTCTTGGGGTCGATGTGAACTCCTTGAGCGCTCACCATGTGTCCTACGAATTGGACTTTCTTGAGGGCGAATTCGCTCTTGGATAATTTGACATAGAAATGATCCCCTTGAAGGATTTCGAAGGCGCGTCATATGTGTTCGATGTGCTCCTTCATGTCACGCGAGTAGATGAGGATGTCGTCCACGTACACCACCACACACTCATCCAAGAGTGGGCATAGAATGTTGTTCATCTCGGCTTGGAAGGTTGCTAGTGCATTGGTAAGTCCGATCGCCATGACCAGGTACTCGTACGACCCGTAATGAGTTCAGAAGGCAGTTTTGAGGATGGAATTGCCTGCCATTCTTATCCGTACCGCAGATCCAGTTTGGAAAATACCGTGGCTCCCTGAAGCTGGTCAAGCCTGCCATCGATTCGTGGAATCAGTTATGTATTTTTT